CAAAGAGTCTGCAACACCAGCACTCATTAAGGTTCCATTTACAACCTTGAGGTGAAGATAAATAAACAATGAAAACACAATGAATTGTTGATTCCATCGCATAAAGAAGGGTCAGTTCTACTTTGCAAAAGCTACGACACTTCCAAGTCTTATCCGTGTCAAAGAAATATTTTAATGGCCAAATGTCTTTCCCAACCCAGCTGGCTCATAGCCTGACTGCATGCTTCATATGCAAAGCATGGCTTTTCTATGAGGTCACCGACAGTGATTGTTGTTCTACCTGATCGGCCCGACTGGTTTGTTAATATGCTGAGTTGCATTTGAATTCACTAGTTGGAATTTTTCTGCTCAAATTTGGGAGAAATCAGATAAAATAAAGTTGGTATTTATTTTTGGAAAGTCGGCTCTTTCTCACCTGCTCTCACTCATTTTTGTAAGTCACACTGATAAACTATTAATTTAAACAAACATCAGAGCACTATCCAACCATTATCTGTGAACACATCCCTAAAGTGCTTGAATGCAATATTATATTATATATTATATAATATACACTGGTATTAGTCTGATCATTCAGCGCAACAAAGATCAGACTCTACTGGCAAGTGGAATGTGGTTGAGTTGGGTGTCTTTTCCTGATCCGAGTTCAGGCTTCCAAGGCAAGTGATGCATCATAAGGAATTACAGATACGTGCCTCCACCTTCTTCTATTGTTGAACAGAGAAGCCAAAATATCCCGTTTACAGGCGCCTCAGTGCTTTCTGGATCTATTTTCAGGATGTGCTGCTAAACGTTCCGCCTACTTCCTGCAAACAATCATGGTGTTTTTTTAAGCACTAGATAACTAATAATAACAAAATTACTAAGATAAAATACTTGAACACTCAGCAGAAAGGGAAGAGCTGACTGAATCGACAAGAGTTTAACTGACTTAAGGTGACACATTTGCTTATATGGGGGGATGGGACTTAAAAATTGTACTGTAGCCAACCCCTAGGGGGTGTTTTGGATCCTTTCAATGTAAGCCTAATTTATACTTCTCCGTCTGCGTTGGTGCAGAGACATGCAACACTATTATATGTCAGCACAAGAGCTCCCTAACAGGCTCACAGAGGGTGATAGACACATGCCCAAATTTTTAAATAGCTCCCTAAGAGCCACAACAACTAAGATCTGCAATGGATCATTGTAAGAACAACATTCATTTCAACCTTATTGATTTAAGCACAGATAATTCAAACATTTCATTTAAGCACCTTGTTCATTCAACCATATGATTAATTAACTTATAAGTTGTAAAGCCTTGCAGGATTCGTGTGGATTCACTTTTACGCAGAGTGAGGAATCCAGCAGTCTGGCTTTAATGCAGAGAGAGGTGAGCTTTTGCAGGAGACCTTGACAGTTTATTTATGTCTGCGTTGAACAATAAGTGAGCAAAAGGTTGATCTGTGCGTCTGAATCCTCCAGCTGGTGTAACCTTGACTTTGCAGCTCTGGTGTGTATGAAAGGTTACTGTGTCAATTTGATGGTGAAAATTGACCCTTTTTATTCATTACATACCTAAACATAAAAAACTTCTATCAACAGGCCTTTCTCTTTTTAGCAACCTGAAACCAAAATCTCAACCAGTAGGTGGCTCTATGAGCTGATTTCACACCTTGGTCCCTTTACACACCAATAAGAACCTTGTTCAGAATGGGTTTGCAAACAAAGTATGTAATCAATCAGCTAGATGTAACTTTTAACAGACTGAGCATTATACATGTGACTTTGACCATCTTAATTATGTTGTGGTGCATTTCTGCGAAATGGTTATGCGAGTCACAAAGACATCCTTACAGTAAACATGTGAGCCACAGTCCTGGCAAGTCACCAGGTTTTGCAGAGTCAATTACATTATTGCACGATGACTTATGGACCAATCTAAACTTTTGTGTTACAGACTGCGAAAGAGGATAGAACTCAGTTAACCTTAAGGCAACAATAAAACACTCTATTCCTAATCTAAAGCACAAGTTTGTCACTATCACAGACTGGCAGGAGTACTCAGATGAAGTGTTGAGAAAGCTTGCTTTACTGAAAAGGTGTTGATAACTTCAGCAGTCATAGGGTGAGAGGAGTTGAACACAGTGGATAAGTGACCACCAGTCCATCACAAGGACAGAAAAAAATCGATATGGTAATATATTGTGACTTTTTTTCCCTGCGATATTATATTGATATTCAAAAACTGTGTATCAATTTTCTTTTAATAATTTACATGCAAACATTTGAGTATTTTCTTTTCATTTGGGGCAATTAAAACGCCGACCGCTACTTGGGAGCAGTGTGCAATAGGTTTTGTTTCCACCACTGAAATATGTCTCTCAATTACGGTTCAGATACCTCACGTTAAACATGTTACGTATCAGTTTGGACTTTTTTATTGAATTTTCCAGAAATAATTTCCGTCTAAAAAAATTGCTAATATCGTCTGGCTAAATGTACCGCAATATATCCTATCATCTCCTCTGTATCGTGATACGCATCATATTGCCAGAATTTCACCAATACACATCCCTAAAGGACACACAGTGACAAACAAGCACACTCACTCACACCTAGGGACAATTTAAAGTGTCCAATTATAGCTGCAATGGCAAATTTGCAAAACAAGCTAGGTTTTTAACACAAACATGGTCAGAGAACTCTCACTCCTCCCACTGGTTGTCATCCCTAGGCCACGTCCGCCCGATATAGAAACACACACAGTAAACATGAGACCGCTAAACACACCAGTCACCATTTTCTTGGTCCAAATGTCTTTTGTTGTCCATGACTTTGAATTGGGTTATTTTTTGGGGGGGACTTTGGTAGTTTGCCCTAAGGTTGAAGTGGTAGCAGCCAGCTGTTTCTCCTTCTCTGGTATTATTGAGCAGAGAACATCTCACACCACTGGTGTACTGCTGCTAAATACACACGTGCGTAATGAATGGAGGACCCAGGTAAATGTGGAAATGTGGCGGTTCAGTGAGACAGACAACCCAATGGTACAGTGGTAGGTTTTGGACCCAAGGTGTGTATTGGCTGAGGTTTTTCGACAAATATGAGAGAAGCATTTCATTAGTATTTTTTATACATAAATCTTCAAAATATATTTATGGCTTTACTTTGTTAGGACATTGTTAAGATGCGTTAAAAATGTTTTAAGCTAGCTTGTTTTGCAGCATTGCCATTGTATCATTAACCTGACATGCATGTTTTTGGTCTATGGAAGGACACACAAGCACTCATAAAACTCATGCATTCAAAAAGGCCACGCGGGTGTCAAACTGGCACCCTTCAGGCAGAGAGGCAACAGTGCTACCAATTGCACTACCGTGCAGCCCAAAACTAGAAATATTACTAGAAATATTACACAAACTATCATTAAAACCTTCCATAATTTAGGGTACAGTAACTAAATACTTAACAGAGATGAATATTCAGAGGCAAAAGTCATTTTCAGAACCATCAATCATTGGGTGAACACGTCTATTAATGGGAAAAGAAATGTTGTCCAAAGGAAATAACATAAGTGCTCTGCTTCACCTCTCCTTCGTTTGGATGAGCCATTAAAGCTGAGAGAGTATTAAAAAGCACACGCGCACCCTGACCTTTTCCTTATCATAAATCACACCCTACTGTTCTGCTGCCAGGATTTTGCTTAACCCAATTTGTCACTGTGGACATCACTTCCACCCTCGCTGCAGATTTACTCTGAAGGGCCGGCAGCAGAATTTGTGGGCGGATCAAAGGATGCCATCCAGTCCTCTCTCTGGCCGTGTAATCAAGGAAGCCAGTAGCTTCATGGGGCTGAAACGTTGAGGCTGGCTCCCAAACAAAGCAGAAAAGACCAGGGGCTTTTTATTATCACCGATTATTGGATTCTTCTTTTGTTTTTTTTAAGTATCTGGAAAATAATCTACAGACACCTGAGCAAAGTATCGAACAATCCCTTTGAAAAGCTGAAATCAGTCATTTTTTAACTGACTACCTGCTGATTTGGCTAATAAAATAGCTTTTGGAAGATCTATTCAAAAGAGCCATCACACATGGACTGTGGGGCAGACAGACAGATGCAACACACTTTCACACATTATTATGACAGAAACAGGTCACTGAAGGTGTGCCAAGAATATTAGACAAAGGACAGTTGCCTCTGGATGACTGCTGTTTTGACTTTCTCATCCATGGCAATAAATTACAACAAAATTACTTTTCTTCACTTTGGCAATTCTGGTCTAATCTGGCAAATTTTCAGACTTTATTTGAACGTTTGATGGCAGAAACCCAGTGGTATTCAAACTTGAGGGAGAATAAAAGAAGAATAAAACAGCAAAGAAACATATTCTGTTTTGATTTCAATGTTTTCTAAAAAGCTGAGGAAATGTGTAACACTCCAGTGACAGTTACATCTCTGGCAGATAGTCAAATGATCAGAGCCAAGAAACGATAGAGATGATTGGACTGGGCAATATTTAGCATGTTTGGTAGTTTGTGATTTGTCCATCTCAAACAAAAAAAAAATCTTATTTCCTTAGTTCTGTGAACAAAAAACTACACCAGATTTGCTCCCAGAATCCCAACTTTTGAAAATAAACAGACATTTAATAGATAAATAAACCCCATTCAGTTATTTGTAGTCCTCGGAGATGTTAGCAGGTCAGCGCTATACAAGACCACTGAACTCCAAAACCTGAATCTGTGCTTTTCTTACCAAAGTGATGTTGCAGCATCACTCAAGTGTCAAACCTAACATAACCCACAGATCATACATCCAGCCCTTCATCTGCTGAAGCCCTACAGGAGATGACCAATAAAACCTCAGCTTTCATCACATAATCATTAGAGATGACGAAGAAAGGTTTATCTTTCCAAACAATCAAAGCAGTTTATGGATGAAATGCAAAAACATACAGGCATTGCAATGTCCGCCAAAACACTTTTTTTTTAGGTTTTTTGCACTGAGGCAGTCTCACCTGTGACATCTGAGGTCTGAAATTGATCTCCTTCAGATCCACTGATCCAGGGGAGAGGTTGTGCAACATCTGGCACAGAAGCACCCCGTCCCTCAGAGCCTGTGCCAGGTCGAACACGGCCGCCGAGGGCCACACGACCCGGTGGTTCGGGGGCAGGACCTTGCAGTCTATCAACCACCGCCCGCATTGTCTCCACTCCTCCATCTCTGCTCCGGAGGGCTGTCTCTGAGCTCTAACCCGAGTCCTGGAGCCGCTGCCCGGCCGGCAGAGAGAGCTGTGCTTCACGGTGCCCCAGCAGCAGGCGCTTCGGTCGGTCTCCTACGGCTCCGGGGGCGTGGATCATTCACAGCCCGCTCTCTAATCATGCAAATTCAAAACTTTGTGTAGGAGACAGCTGTGTCCAAACGCATGTCAGCTCCCATGTGATCCCGGCATGAAGACTAGTAACGACCCGCGTCAGGAGGCGGCTACAGTTTTCTTCTCTTCATTCTCCACAGGAAGAAAAAGTTTTGTTTGGTTTATCAGATTTTTTTTAAAGGCGCAAACGTGCAGCAGCGATATGGGAACAGCTGGATGCAGCGGTTTGTCAAACAGCAAACGGACTTCACCACAGAAGCAAAAGAGCGTTTTGAAGTCTGAACAAAGCCCCGGACTCACTCACCACATTTGCATTTGACGTTTCGTCACAGCTGAACGCACACAACACGAACTTCCAGTATTTTCCGAGCAGGAAAATGCAAACAAAAAGGAAACAAACCCGCTGAGGCTGGAAACAACGTTTGGATCGCGCTTCGCTCCAACAGTCCGACTACACATCACTCCCCCGGCAGCGGAAGCGCGGGGTCCGGCGGGCGAAACAAACAAAACAAGTCCGTGTTTATCCCGTTAGTGTAACGCCTCCTAACAGGGTCTGCTGAGCTGTTTCAGAGATTTCTCTTCCGTTCACGTCCTCCCTGATCGTGTACCTCTCCTCTCTCTCTCTCCCTCCCTCTGTGTTGGTTTCCTTTTTCTTTTCTTTGCGGATCCAACTCCAGAAGCAGCTGAGATTTGACCCGACCCTGTTTCAGATCCGGACTCGACTTGAACGAGATGAGCCAGCAGTGACAGGCGTCTCCACCTAAAGCGACCCTGGACAGTTTGTACTCACTTTGTTAAACTGGCTCCAGCTCCATGCTGCACAGAAATGGGAGTTTTGGGATTGGAAAAGTGAGGATTGTGGCAGCGCCCTCTAACGGATGAAGTGTGCACTGCACGCGCCCATTGAGTTTTTTTTTAACTCAGATTTGAGCTGCTTGACACTGGCAAACATTTTTTGTATTTCTGTATTTTTTTAGAAAAATATTTAATGATTTTTCAAATTTTCAGTACCATTATTATTTAGTATAAATGCTTTAAATTTGTCAGAGTGTGTGTGTGGTTTTATTTTATTTTTTTTGTGCTTCTACACCCATTTCTCTTGTCACATTCTCCATGGGGTTGAGGTCTGGAGAATTTCCTGTCCAGTTATCATGCTGCTCTCCTGAACCACGTGGATTGCATCCACACTGCAGAAAATAATTGTCCCAAATCTGACTTTTTTGTCCTCAAGTCATCCATATTTGATTATGGTGCTGATGGCAGAGCCAGCTCTGTCTGCTCGGATTACACATCTTCGGAACTAGTGCAAACATTCTGACGTGTAGCTTTTATATTTATTTTTGTTGAAAACATAAATGCTATGGGCAACATCAAGTGTTCTTCAGCATAAGTGGGTCCTGTCAGGGAATTGCCTGGAGTCTGATAGTGGTGACATGTTAATTATAATGTGAAAAACAATTTAAAAAAAGAGATGTGAGTAAAAAATCAGAACTGAATATGAAGACCTGCACTGCCTATATAGACTTGATTATCACTTAACCACTTCAGCACAATGAAAATGAATCATTTATCACCAAACCGTGAATGGGGGGGGGGGGTCCTCTAGGAGGGTGTTTAGGTACCATTATTTGTGTTCTGAGGCTGAACTGTGAGTCCACTTCCTAGGCTGAGAAGCAGCTCCACACATAAATGGTCTCAGGGTGTTTAGTTGTTGGCAAGGCTCAGGCCTGATGGGAGAATTTGCCTTTTATTCTCTAGACGGGGGGCTGCCAGGGATTTTGGGCCCCATGAAAATATATCACGTTGGGCCCCCTTGGCGGCTCATCCATAGAGGGTGCTGGGGTTCCGCCCTCCCAAATGCGAAGGGAGAAAAATTTTAGAAAAAAAAAAAAATATATATATATATATATATATATATATATATATATATATATATATATACTTTGTGTTTCAGTTTTGCTTAATTATGTATGTCTACATGTATTCTTACTTATTTATAGGGATGTGTATTGGTGGAATTCTGGCGTTACGATATGTATCACGATACCGGGAGATGGTACGATACATTGCAATATATTGCAACATTCAGCCAGACAATATTAGTGCTTTTTTTTAGACTGAATTTATTGAAGGAAAATTCAGTAAAGTCCAAATTGATACATAATAGTTTAACATGAGGTATCTGAACCATAACAGAGGGATTTACATTTTAATGGTGGAAACAAAACCCAATCAAATGAATTTGTCAAAATAAAGTAGAGACCTCTGAATAAATATACATTTCATTGGGACAAAAATATGTTTTTTTAATGCCTTACGTTAGAAAAAATACTGCAAAGTAAAGTATGTGTGATTTTTAACTTTTTTTATTTTTTAAATTGAAGTTTGAAACTTTTTTGGGCCCTCTGACAGCCGTGGGCCCTTAGAATCGTCCTAACCTTTCCCCCCTTTATGGCGCCCCTGTCTCTAGACAATCTGTTTACTGGGTACCCGAACCGCTAAAGTACAAACAGCAAATAAAAACAAAGTTCTTTGGAGGAAATTATTTTACTCCCATCAACAATCAAATTTCTGGATCTTTAGCACAAGATTGGTCTAATGTTTTTCTGTGTGAAACGTGGCTTCTTCGCTGCCCTTATTGACACTAGACTTTCCTGCTGGAGAAAGTTATGGAGCATATAATACAAATTCATGTGAACACTCTTGTTAACATTTAGGAGATTGGCAGATTATTGACTACAGTTTGGCCCTATACAGAGTAAAGCCATTGTGTCTTTTGTAAAACACATCAGAATGCCAAAGTTATACTGACTTTGACATGTCAAACTCAAGGACATGTGACTAAAAACAGGTTAGGGGGAAAAAAATCCTGCCAAAAAAAAAATAAAAAGATGCAAAAACCATTATTGAGGAAAAAAACAAAATAAGTTTACACACCCTGGTGGATTATTATTATTATTATTTTTTTTTTTTTGCCATTTCTCAAAGAATCTGAATGAAAACACAAAAACCTTCTTTACTCACGGTCAGTGATGCAGTGAAACCATTTACTGTGCAGAAAAAATGTGTGAATTAATTTCAAATCTCCACAACAAAGTAAAATATCAAAATGATCCTGTCAAAAAGTTTACACAACCCTGTGATTTCAGCCTGAAACATGCACCCAATTTGACACAAATGGGTTTGAATGGCTGCTAAAGGTAAACACCTTCACATGGGATCTGTTTCTTTGCAATCAGTGTGTGACTATAAAAGGTGTGTGAGTTTTTGGACTCCTGACAATACCCTTGCACCTTTCATTCAGAGCTGCACTGACGCTTCCAGTTTCGGAGTCATGGGGAAAGCAAAATAATTGTCAAGGGATCTACGAGAAAAGTCGACTGAGCTCTATGAAACAGGAAAGGGATTTAAAAAGATATCCAATATACTAAAAATGCCATTCAGCAGTGTTAGAACTCTGATGGAGTGGAAAGTTGGGGGTTCTGTTGAAGCCAAACTGTAGAAAAATTGTTCACAATGCAAAGAAAAACCTTTAAACAACTTCTGCTAACTTGCAGGACACCCCCAACAATGTATAACAAGGCCAAGTTGCCAGAAGAGAGCCATTAGTACGGAAATGCCACAAATAATTTTTCTGACAATATGCCAAACAGCACAGAAACAAGCCTCAGCAATTCTGGAACAAAATCATTTGAAGTGATGAGACCAAAATTGAACTTTTTGGAGAGGAGTCAACAAGGCCTATGATGCACCATCCCTACTGGGAAATTGGCTGGTGTTTTGGGGATGTGAGCTACCAAGGCACTGGAAACCTGGTCAAAGATGATGGCAAGATGGAAGCTGCAGCTTATTAAACAATACTGGAGGAGAATTTGTGGCCATCAGCCTGAAAGCTGTGCAATGGTAGCACTTAGATGTTCCAGCAGGACAGTGATCCAAAACACAAGTCCATGTGGCCCTGCCATTGGCTCCAGCAGAATAAAGTGAAGGTCCTAGATTGGCCATCTCAGTCTACTAACCTCAATATCATTGAACCACTGTGCGGAGAGCTCAAACGCGCTGTTCATGACAGATGGCCCATGAATTTACAGGAACTGGAGGCTTTTTGCCAAGAAGACTGGACTGCTTTACCATTAGGCCTAGTCCACACGTAGCTGGGGTTTTTTAAAAATGAATATCCGCCCCTCCAAAAACTTGCATCCACACCACCGCGTTTAAAAAAAAAAAACTCTGTCCACACGTACCCGGATAAATACGATGTTAAGGACATGCCAGACCTGTAGGTGGCAGTACTTCCCCCGTTCTTAACCTCGTCCTTCATCTGTGGTCTTCCGCAAGGAGCAGTAATTCAGTAAGACTCCAAGCTGCCATTGATGCTAAAGGGGGCAACACACGGGGTTAGAAACTGGGGTAAACATTTTCACATGGTCATTTTGGCGAATTGAAATGAGTTCAAACATATTCTTCACAGTAAAAGGCTTCACACCATCACTGACCACGAGTGACAAAAAAATTGTGTTTTCATTCATACTCTTTGAGAAATGGCCCAAAACCCACCAGGCTGTGTGAACTTATTGGCACAATATGCAAATCTGACCACTTGCATTCTAGCAGGGGAAGGCAATCCTGGCCCTATCCAGCATGTTTTAGTGGTTAAATCACATGTTCAGCAGCTCACCAAGCTCTGCAGAAGCCTGTTAATCACCTGCTGATGGTGTGTTGGAACTGGGAAAAAACTAAAACATGCTGGATAGCAGCACTCGAAGACCTGGGTTGCCTACCCCACTGCCTGTAAAAATAAATGTGAATAAAACCAGTACATCTGTTTCCTGTGTAGGTTTGGTTTTAGGGATTGTGTGCCTAATACAAGTTGTTTCAAAAAGTCCCCGTTTGTGACATAAATCATTTGAAAAAGTGGATAGAACCACCTCTCATCTATCCAAGCTGAAGGAGCAGTGGTACTAGTCCAAGCCGCTCATGAGAAGTCTCATTTAAGAAAAAAATACAGCTAAACGAAATTTTTAAAATGGCATGTTTTTCTGTTTTTTGGAAGTTTTGTGAAATATTGTAAAAAATAAACTTGTTAAATAGCTTAATTTCTTATTCTGTTTATTAGCAATCTAAACAAGTGTATTAGAAAAAAACTCCATAATCTGCTGCTTCTTAGGATTAACTTCAGTTTTTTTTTGTTTTACGTCTAATTTAAATTTAAAATATCAATATTATTTCATGTCTAACACCTTTTACTGAAAAAAAGAAACAAAATCTATGCTCCCTATTTTATTCTCCTTAAAAATCCATCATCCACTCTCAGCTTCCCCGCTGGGATCCAACCACGGTCACAGTCAACAGCTTTTCACTCTTCCTTTCATTTTTCAGATATTTAAACTCCTGCTTGGATCATTCAGTTCTGAATTTGTTCTTCCCTCTGAGGACCTCTCTCTTGTTCGTGCTGCAGTGTCCTTTATGTAGATCAAGCAATTGGTCAATGAATCACTTAATTGCCTCTAACATCAATATGCTACCTGTTCATGCATGAATCCCTTTTGTCACATGTCATTGTTCCTGCAGCTCCACTCACCACACGTCTCCAGCTCCAGATTCCCCACAGTGATGGAACATTTTGAGCCAATTTCTCCTTCAGCATAAAAATGCTGTAGAAAACCTTGTTTTCTGTACAAATGCTTGACAGGTAATAGTTTTAAGAAAATAAAGTGGGAGCCTCTGTGTACAAGTGAAGCTGAAAACACGAGTCATGCTGCTAACTGCTTCAGGGGGAATTTGGATGATCATGTAAATTTCAATGTGAAGGTCGACTTCTACAAGTGGCAAAGTTACATAACTTAAAAAGCTAACACGTTTCTTGCCATAATTATTAAGCCCAAAGATTTTGAAACAAACCGTTTTTTACTTCAATGAATCATTTACATTTAAAACATTTTTTTCCGTATGAAACCAA